GTCGTGGCTAATGGCAATGGCAATGGCAATGGTAATGGTAATGGTAATGGTAATGGTAATTCCGGTGGTAATGGTCATGGCAATGGTAATGGTAGTGGTGACAGTAACGGTAATGGTAATGGCAATGGTAACGGGGTAGCGATTGGCAATGGCACTGACAATGGCAATGGCAACGGTAATGGTAATGGTAGTGGCAATTGCAATGGCAATGGCAATGGGAATGGCAATGGCAATGGCAACGGCAATGGCAATGGCAATGGCCATGGCAATGGTAATGGTAATGGTAATGGTCATGGTCATGGTCATGGTCATGGTCATGGTAATGGTAATGGTAATGGAAATGGTAATGGTAATGGTAATGGTGAAGGTAATGGTAATGGTAATGGTAATAGTAATGTGAATGGGAATGGGAATGGGGATGGGAGTGGGAATGGGAATTGTAACGGTAATGGGAACGGGAACGGAGTGGAAATGGTAGTGGTAGTGGTAACGGTAATGGTCATTGTCATTGTCATGGTCATGGTAATGGTAATGGTAATGGTAATGGTAAAGGTAATGGTAATGGTAATGGTACTGGTAACGGTAATGGTAATGGCAATGGTGATGGGAATGGGAGTGGGAATGGGAACTGTAATGGTAATGGCAGCGGTAATGGTAATGGTAATGGTAATGGTAATGGTAATGGCAATGGTACTGGTAATGCTAATGGTAATGGCAATGGTAATGGTAATGTCTAATGGGAATGGCAGTGGCAATGGTAATGACAGTGGTAATGGTAATGGTACTGGTAATGGTAATGGTAATGGTAACGGTAATGGTAATGGTACCGGGGTAGACTGGCAATGGCAATACAATGGCAATGGCAACGGCAACGGTAATGGCAATGGCAATGGCAATGGCAATTTTAATGGCCATGTTAATTGTAATGGTAATTGTAATGGTGATGGTAAAAGTAAATGTATAGGTAAAGGAAAAGGTACAGGTAATGGTAATGGTAATGGTAATGGTAATGGTAATGGTAATGGTAATGGTAATGGTAATGGTAATGGTAATGTGAATGGGAATGGGAATGGGGATGGGAATGGAAATGGTAGTGGTAGTGGTAACGCAAATGGGAATTGTAATGGTAAGGGTAAAGGTAAAGGTAAAGGTAAAGGTACTGGTAATGGTAATGGTAATGGTAATGGCAATGGCAATGGTAATGGTAATAGTAATGGTAATTGTAATGGTAATGGGAACGGACTGGCAATGGCAATTGTACTGGTACTGGTAATGGCAATGGTAATGGTAATGGTCATGGTAATGGTAATGGGAATGGGAATGGTAATGGTAATGGTAGTGGTAGTGGTAGTTGTAGTGGTAGTAGCAATGGTAATGGTAATGGTAATGGTAATGGTAATGTTAATGTTAATGGAAATGACAACGGTAATGGTAAGGGTAACGATGATGAGCAACGTGAAAGGTCGTGAGAATTCGTTTGGAACCCACAGCGACTCCACAATCCCCCGGCCTCGAGGTGGAGGAGGAGGAGGAGGAGGAGGAGGACGAGGACGAGTGGGAGGAGGAGGAGGAGGAGGAAGAACAAAAATAATAAGAGGACTAATAAGAATAATATTCAGAGCAATATCAATAATGATAAAACTATTAACTATAATAATAATACTAATACTCAGAATAACAAGTCATGAACGAATCGTAATACGAATAATGAGAATACTAGGAATAGTACTCATAATAAAAGGAATAGTGATAGTCATATTAATAATAGCAATCCTAATAATAATCGTATCAATAAGAAGACAGGACTGATAGTAAGTGGAAGAAGAATATTAATAGCAACAATGACAATTAACACGATACGACAAATATGAGTATTAATACTACGAGTAGTATTAATAAGAACAATACCAACGATACTAACACATATTAAGACACATGCTAACAATAAGCATACTAATACGGATAGTAATACTAGGAACAATACGAGTCATTTCAATTACTATTAAGAACAATAGTAATATTAAGAAGAGAAGCATAAACCATAACACATACTATTCATAATAATACTAGTAATATTAAGAAGAGGAGGAGGCGGAGGAGGAGTAGGAGGAGGAGGAGGAGGCAGAGGAAGAGGAGGAGGAGGAAGAGGGAGAGGAGGAGGAGGAGGAGGAGGAGGAGGAGGAGGAGGAGGAGAAGTAGGAGGAGGAGGAGTTGGAGAAGGAGGAGGAGGAGAGAAGAGGAGGCCAGCCCGGGCCCAGAATCCTGCCGCGGCGGGCTTTGGCGCTCGCGGCGGCCCCCCTTTGGCTTCCTGGCGGCCCCAGCGGAGCCCCGCAGCGATTCTGGGCCGCGGTGCTCCCATCCCAGTATCCCGCCGCTGCTGGCCCCTGTGTCCGCGGTTGGTTGCCCCTGACAGCCGCGCGACAGCCGCGGTGGCCGCCCCCTGCCCCGGCCGCAGCTCCAGCCTGGGCTTGCCCGGCCACGGGCGTCACTTGCCGCTCTCCCAGCGGGCGGCGGCCCTGGCCCTCCCATCCCTTGGCGCGCCCCGCCCACCCAGGCCGCCCGCCCGCGCGCGCCCCGCCCACCTAGGCCGCGCGTGCCGGTGATTCCCCCTTTTTCCGCGGGCCGCCTTGGCGCCTGGCTGCCTGCGGCCGCCGCGAGGGGACCTGGGTCTGGTCTTGCCGCCCGCCGCCCCCGCGACCCAACGCCCGGCTGGGCACTCCATCCCCCCGCCTCCACTTGGGGGACGTGCTGTCTTTTCGCTGATCGTCTTGCATCCTTGCTCGTTGGGCTTCCCCTTGGCCCGCGCTGTGCCTCGCCGCCGCTGGCCCCCCTGGCGCAGCAGCCGCCGCGATTCCGCCTGCTTGGGATGGACCTGTTCCCCTAAGCGGCCCCGCCCTGTCTCCCCCCTCTCGCGGCCGTCGCTTCGTCCTCTTTTCCCTCTTCTTGCATTGTGGCACAATTCACTCTACGGTGTCCCCGTTCCGCCTCGTCGCCAGCGCAGTGGTTCTACCTAGGATTTCGGCACGCGCGCGCGACGACGCGCGCGCGTGCGCTTCGCCCCGTTTTTGCCATGGTTCTTGCGACAGCACGCGCTCAAGGGCGTTCGAACGATTTCGAAACGCGCGCTCGAGAGGCCCATTTGGAAACATTGTGTGACAATGTTGAACACCAGGGGTTTCTTCAGGGTTCGCAAGAGCGCGGGCGCATTTTTTGGGGTTATTCTGCACAAAGTATTGTTGCACAGCGTGTTTTTTGTTTGTTTGTTTCTTTGATTGTTTTTATATAAACATGTTGTCGTGGAGGTCGATGTTGAAATCCCTACGGGGCCGATTCCAAGGATTTCGGCATTCGCGCGACGACGCGCGCGTGTGCACTTCGCCCTTTCTTTGCATTTAGCATGGTTTTTTTTTGATAATCGAGAGTGCGCGCATACTATTTCCGCAGGGGATGGCGGGGGGTGTCGATACCGGCTGGGCTGGGATGATACGACGTCATATCTAGGATGAACGACATATGTAGATTGCATTACGAAAGCGCGGATCGTTAATTCCGGGGGCCAGGTCCTTCGAAAATGTTGAAGGAACCCTAAATGCAAGCACGGCTTGGGAAACAGAAGGACAAACTCCTGGGTGCAAGCACTGTTCGGACAAACAGCCACCAGAAAAACAAGAAAACGGAAGAGGAAGAGGACGAGGACACGTCGTAGGAGCGGGGAAGAGAACGAGGGGAAAACTACGAGGAAGACGAGAAGGAGGACGAGGAAGAGGACGAGGGTGAGGAGGGAACGGGTGCAACTTCCTGTTCATCCTGCTCCTGGGCTTGCTCATCACGTACTTGCCTTGCCTTCAGTGCGCCTCTGGCTGACTGTGCAGGGATTCGTCACTTTCAGGGGCATGAACGTTGCAGTCAAAAACTGCAAGCATCCCATTCCGCTGGGGATGCTTCCGCCTTTCCTGGCCAGCGCGCTCTGCGTGCCCTGGTGCCCTTCACGCCCCCCGGTGGTCCGGCGTGCGTCCTCCGTCCTGCCAGCCTTGAGGAGCGCAGCGCGGCGGGCCGTCGTCGTCGTCGTCGTCGTCGTCGTCGTCGTCGTCGTCGTCGTCGTCGTGAGTTGCCGCTCAGTGAATCTGTCCAGCGAGAGCTCCGCTTTGAAAAAGGTCTGCCATCCATCCGAGTACAGTCTCCCCCGAACGTGGACTACCCACCTAACGTAACCTGGATTTCGGCGACACCGAGGCCAACCCGCGCGGAAAGGGCATGACACCTGCGTTCTGGCGATGCGCTTGTCTCGGAGTGATGCTCCGGCTTGTGCGTGGACCACATCTCTGCGTGGAAATGGTCCGGCTTGTGCGTGGGCCACGTCCAGGGAGGGGGGCTTGTGTAGTCGCTGCGCAAGTGCAAGGTTCTCGTCGAACAATTTGGGGAAGTCTCGGGCGAAGTCCTGCTTCCAAAAAGGGAACTGCCCTTCACCCGCGCAGATCTTGCGCACATTTAGCCTCAGGGCATCCGTTTTAAAAGCAAGTCTGCGGCGGGAGCCCCATTTTGAACAAAGAACGGCCCCGCATCCGTCCAGATCTTGGGCGTTCGAAGACGAGAGGGCTCCACGGTGCAACGGCGATTGCCCCATGTTGAAAACCCCCTGTGTGTTCCACCCGTGCAAGTGTTGGACGCTCCAAGCTTGGAAAGGGCAAGAGGTGCGAGGAAGTCTCGGGCAGAACGCCCCGCCCTCCCCGGCGACCCGTCTGGTGGTGCGAGAGGGAGGGAGGACTCCTGCCGCCGCCCCTCTTCCTTTCTCCTGGAGGGGTGGGCGGGAGGGATCGTCGGACTGGTCTCCTCCGCCTCTCCCGCCCCTCTTGCCCCTCCTCATCCTGCTGCTCCTCCTGCTGCTCCTCCTCCTCCTCCTCCTCACCTCCCCCTCCTCCTCCTCCTCCTCCTCCTCCTCTTCCTCCTCCTCCTCCTCCTCCTCCTTTCCCTTCTCCTTCTCCGAAGCCGGGGCCTGACAGGTGCTGCTGCTGCGGCCTCGACGGCGCGGGGATCGCGCATCGTGGTGGGCCGGTGGGTGGCGGAGAGTGCTCGCCCTTCTGGCCCTCCCCTCCCGTCCCTCGACAGTGCGGCGGGACGGTGAGAAGCGTGGTGATCCACGCCTTCAGTATTGGGGTCGGGTCTTGCCTTCGCGGGGCTCCGCCCGGCCACCCGCCCGACGGTATTCGTCCGATCTTCTTGCGCACGCCTTGGGCCAGTGCTCATATCCTGCCCCCCTGCCCCCCCGCTCCTCCCTCCCTTTTTCCCCTCCCCCGCTTCCCACCGCCCCCCTCCTCCGCCTCTTCCCTCCCCAGTCCCCCTTCCCCTCTTTTTTGCTTCTAGCCGCTGCTGACTGTCGTTGAAGTTTGGCCGCGGGTGCAACCGTGCAGGTGTTGCGTGGCATTGTGGAGGTGCCAGATGATGATGATGATGATGATGAGGAGGAGGAGGAGGAGGAGGAGGAAGAGGATGATGATGATGATGATGAGGATGATGTTGATGATGGTGGTATGGTGATGATACTGATGCTGATAATGGTAAGGATGATGATGGTGATGATGGTGATGGTGATGATGATAGTGCTGCTGATGATGATGAATTTGATGATGAACATAATGATGCTGCTGGTGATGCTGCTGATGATGCTGATGTCGGTGATGATGATAACGCTGATGATGATGATGAGGATGGTGGTGGTGATGATGATGAACATGCCAATTAACCCGAGTAAGCGATTAAGGACCCCCCCCCCCCCTCTCCGGTGAAAGGATAACGCACCCGGCACCCGGAAGCGTTATCCTGGCACCAGGAGGGGGTACACCAGATCGCACGGGTCCCACGGAGTCCCGCAGGTCTCGCAGGTCCCACAAGTTTCAAAGTGGTTCCCGTGTGAGGTCCCGCAGGTCACACAGCCTTTCCTTAGCTTTCCTCAGCTTTTCTCAGCTTTTTCTTAGCTTTTCTAAGCTTTTCCTTAGCTTTTCTCAGCTTTTCCTTATTCGTGTTCGTGTTCTTATTCTCATTACAATTCTAATTGGGATGCCACCCGAGGCGGGGCGCTGGAATTATTTATTTTCCTTCCATTTGCGCGGTGCTAATAATATCGCTCGGCGAAAACCCCCCCAAATAATTATTTAATTACGGCGCGGTGCTAATGATAACGCCGGGGGGTTCCTTAATTGCTTCTCCGGGTTACACGGATAATGATGTTAATGCGGCTGCTGATGCTGATGATGATGCTGATGATGGTAATTCTAGTGATGACGATAATGCATATGATGATGCTGATGATGCTGATGTCGGTGATGATGCTACTAGTGCTGCTGATGTAGGTGGTGATGATGATGAACATGAACATGACACGGATAGTGATGATAATGCTGCCGATGCTGGTGCCGCTGGCGATGATGATGAGGATGATGGTGATGATGGTGATGATGATGATGAGGATGATGATGATGATCCTGACAATGACGCTGATGATGCTGATGATGATGGTGATGATGATGCTGATGCTGATGAAGATGATGATGCTGCTGTTGATAATGATGACGACGACATTGATGATGATAATGATGCTGCTGCTGATGATGAGGATGATGGTGATGATGATGGTGTTGATGATGATGGTGGTGATGATGATGCTGATGTCGGTGGTGGTGATGATGATGATGATGATGATGATGATGATGATGATGATGATGATGAGTATGACGATGATGACCAGTGTAGGCCCGAGGCGCATCAACGATGCTGAAGTAGACTCTCCCTCCAAATTCCATCTCCATGGACCCTATACATAATATATTTTCATTGCGGGATGTGTCCCATTGGCGTCCGACAGTCTTCACTCGTTCAGAAACGCCATTCCTGGGGTTCCAGCGCCGCGAATTAGCTTGACCGTTGTTTCCTGACAGATCTACATCGTACCAGAAACAATTCCTGGAACTTCAGCACCGCGAACGGACGTGTCTGCTGCATTTTTGCAATCCTAACTCGTGCCAGAACGCTGTTCCCGGGACGTTAACCATACGAACCTTTGAAACTTGTGCATACTTTCCAGACGAGTGTGCGCGGCGATATTGCGAGAGCCACATTTTGGAACAACACCCTCCGTCCTTGAAAACTGCTGCAACCTTTGAAGACGACGGTGCGCTGCCCTGAAGCGGGAGTGACGTTAAGAAATGGCGCGCCCTCCATCTTTCAAGCTGCTGCAAATTTTAAAGATAAATGTGCGCGGCGCTAAGGCGATGGCCACATTTCAAAAACGGCCCGTCCTCAATCCGTGAAACTGCTGTAAACTTAGAAGCGGCTGTGCGCGGCGCTGAAGTCGAGAGCCACATGTTGAATACCACCCACGCTCCATCCGTGAAGCTGTTGCAAAGCTCATACATCAGGATCACACATGGTGAGGAAGTGTCCGGCGAAATGCTCGGCCCGCCCTGCCGACACGCCTGGGGATGGCGACAGGGAGGAGTCATTTATGAGGAAAAGGGGTGGATGAGGAGGAGGAGGACGAGGAGGAGGAGGATGATGATGATGGGAGAGGATGAGGATGAGAATGAGGATGATGATGAGGATGTGGATGAGGATGAGGAGGAGGAGGAGGAGGAGGAGGAGGAGGAGGAGGAGCGAGGAGGAGGAGGAGGAGGAGGAGCTTCAAGAGTAGTCGATGGTTGGTCACCTCCAATTCGCTGGCATCGCATTTCGGCACCACGGCCCCGCTGGCCACCGGCACGCGGTGATGTCACATTGGCCATCAAGCAGTTCTCAAGTAGTCATTCAATCGTTTCGCTCATTCCTTCCAGCCCGTATGGTGTCACCGTTGGCACTTAATTATGGTGGGAAGTGCCATGGGTCAGGGGGTAAGACGAAGAGTGTCATAGAAGTGCACGCGGGATAATACCTCAACGCCTCATGGCGACGAGCTTGCAGGATGCATCAGTACATCATGCGTCGATGTTGACTACTTGCAAAAGCCAATCGCGCGGACGCGTGCCGAGGTGATAGTCAGAATTTCGCAGCCTGGTGGCTCTGCAAAGGTGTTCTGGGATAAAATCCTAAGGGTGATAACTCCCTGCCGTTCTCGTGTTGCCTGACATGCAAGCTGGGCCACTTCGACGATGTCGGCTACGGGCTTCGGTGTTCACGAGCATCGTAGGTCATCTTGAGGGACTTGGGAAGTCGCTCGGTGGCAGTGGTATCTTCGTTTTGAGCCCCTGGGGGCCATCTTCTGTCGCTCTGAAGCTCACGGGAAGCGGAATGGCGAGAAAGCACAACTGAGTGAAACATTTTGGTCTGTTCAAATGGTCCTGGCCTCCCGAAGGCCTCTTCGGGAATGTCTTGGCCCATTTTGGGCCGCCTCGGGGCTAGCTCGGGGCCTTCTGGAGCTGGCCTGGGGTCATTTTGGGGTTGTTCCAGGGCCCTACTGGGGCCTCGCGCCCTTTGCTGTCCGCTCCTGCGTCGTTCCGCGACCCTGTTCTGACCCTCCCTGGCGCCGCCTGGGGCTTCCTGGAGCTCTCTTGAGAGTCTTCTGGCTATTCTTGGCGGTCGTCCAGGCCCCACAAGAGCCATAATTCATCGATAAACCATTATCGTTTCATTGAGGCTACCTGGGTGCACTCCCTCAGACATCGAGGAGCGCTGACTGGCGAACCTCTCACGCTCCAGCCGTTTTTTGACACACGACCGGCCCTCTCTCCACGACTCCCGCATCAAGTACCTTCACCAACCACATCAAGTACCCCGGACTGATCATGAACGGTCTGCGGGCTGTCGGTTTGGGCGCAGTCATAAGTCCACGTGGTGACTGAGTCCGTCGAGTTTGAGCCCCCTCGGAGGGCTTCATTAGTGCTGTGCAGGCATTTTGCGTGAACCTCCCAGAGCACTGGGGGGGAATATTTTGTTAACCTCACTGCGGGCCCTGTGGACAAAAAATAGATAACTAAGTCCACATGGTGAGAGAGGGCGACCAAGTACGGGGTCCGCCCTGGGGCTCCGCAGGCAACGTGCCCATTCGTACCCGGGTCCGCGAGGTGCACGTGTGGCTTAACGTCCGCTTCGGTCGTAGGACTCCCCAACAGCAGGCCGCCGTTCTCCATCGGGGACTGAAGGCCTTACGACCCGTGCCGCCGACCCTGACGACGGGACGTCCCCCGCGACCCCGGGGTCTCCTTCCAGGACCCTGGGGCCGGGGCCGCGGCTGGGGCCGGGGCCAGGGCTGGTGCCGGGGCCACGGCCGCGGCCGGGATCGCGGTGGCGCAACCCTGCCGTTCCAGCGCGTTTGGGGCAGCGTGCCTAGAGACCGATGGCCCGCGTGCGTGCCTTCCGACTACCCCGTAGATCTGGGTATAGCAGCCCCATGCTTGGAATGCGACACCGTGTATTTCTGAACGACCGAGCTCTCGCGGACGCCGCGAGTGCGGCCGTGCTGGCGCTCGACGAAGACGGCCCGTTCTACGCGGTGCAGGGCAAGGGCGCGTTGCCTGTCCCAAGCAAGGTGATGCGGTCTCGACGCGTGATGCTCCAGATGCTTCCGATCCACCAGGGTACGATGGCAGTCGAGCGGGATTCGGTGAGGACGAGGATCTAGATGCTGAGTGTACCTGGGGCCCCACAGCTTACGGGCCACTGCGCCTCGATGGGGGATCAGGACTGGGAGTGCGTTAGACGACCTGCCGAGCTCTACGAGGTGGAAGTGGCCATTGCTTGGTGGGGCGAACCGGGCGAACATCTGCGTGGCCTCGGGAGAATCGGTGATCCAAGTGTCGTCCAGGTCGATATCGGCGACTCTCTTGGCGACCCTCGCCAGATGCCAGACTGCTCGCCATCGCTGGTGCAGAACGCTGGACTGGTCCATGCCGTCGGAGCTTGCCGTGCCCATGGGGCTCCAAAACGTCCTCGCCGATGACCGGCTCGGCATCTCCAGCATCCTTCTCGTCTAGATTGGACGCAATGTACTTCGCTTCTTGACCTCCGCGGCGACGGCGTCCATCGCTGACTAGCCTGGCAACCCGCGCCCTGCGAGATGGTCGCATGCTGGCCCGAGCCTTCGGCAATGGACATGAGCGAAAAGGCGATCTTGTACATCAGTTAATTCGGCGCAATCCTGCGCTAGACGAGTACCTACCTCAAGACGAAGACCGTGGCGTTCGTGCAGGACAAGGAATGCGTGCAACGCGGCTCGCCTTCCCCGCGTTTTTCTGTTTTTGATTACAACGTGCGTCGACGGCCGGTGCTGCGAATGCCCCTTGCGAGCTGCTTTCAATCCGCGCATCACACGCGCCGATTCCGAAGACAAGAGCAGCCCGAGTCACGGACGCAATAGGGGGGCTGCTGAAAAAGAAACAAGCCTGATGATCGAAGCGGGGGAGGGGAAATGACCGCCTCCAGATCGACCGCCTCTAAAATGGCGAGGAGAACCGTGGCCAGCGCGACCTCTACGGCTGGCTGAGTGGCGGCGTTGGCGGAAAGAGCTGTCCGCCATGAGCTAGTCGCAGAGCGAACGTGCGGGCGCGAACGCTGCTGCGATTGTCCAGCGAGGGAGCCCCGCGACAACAACTGCTGCGACCGAAGCAAGGCGCCTGAACGCTAAGTCTCAGCTCCGACCATTGGACGACGCGCCGCGATTCCGAGATGCTGAATTCCAGCGAACAGGTCAAAACGCAGCTGCGCGAAAATATGCTCAGCGCGAAGAAGACCAGAGACCGCGCAGGGGCGGCAGATCTTCCATACCAGCGCTCCAGACCTTCGCGCTCACATTCGCGGCGATCCAGGAGGTCAGCCTTGGCGACTAGACTACTGGATCCTATGACGCCAGAGACCAGCAGAGGAATGGGACCAGTGGGCCTCGCTGTCAAATGCCCCCCGGGTCTCCGCTTGACGCTGGGCGCCGTTGTCAAATTGGGCCCACTGCCACTCCAGGACCTCCCCAGGGCCCCAGAGGGGGATGGTATTCTGACCCGTGACGCCCCCCGGGGCCCCCGCCCCGCGGGGATGGGATCAAAGGGAGGTGGCTTCTCGTCCACTTGACTACTTTTGAGCTTCGGGACCCTGGGTGGGAATGGTATTCTGACCCGGGATCAACGGGAAGGTGCGTCCCTTCAAATCAACCGCGTCGTTGCTCGATTTCGTTTTGGTTGGCGCGCTTGAGGAGGAGGAGGGCCCAGGGAACGAGGAAGGGGAAACGGCGACGGCGACGACGACGACGACGAGTCTAACGGACAAATCTCTCGCACACGTCGACAAGGTCGCCAGATTTATTATCCTCGTTTTCCTCTTCCTCGTCGTTGTTCTCGTCCTTGTCTCCATTCTCGTCCCAGGCGTGTATTTCTCTCCTACTCCCTCATCCTCCTCATCTCTCCGTATTATTATTTCTTTTCTTCCCCAGTTCCTCTTCCTCTTGTCTCTCCCGCTCCTTCTTCGTCTCTTCTACCCCCTCTTCTCCCTATCCCTCTTCCTCTTCCTCGTCTCCATTCTTCAACCCGTCCCGGTTGTGGCCCCCCTTCCCCCTCCCGCTCCCCCTTCGCGGTTCCATTAATTTTTTACCTTCCCTTGGTTCTCATCCGTGTTTTTGTTCCTCTCCCTCGTCGCGTCGTTCTCGCCGTCCAGCCGCCCACAGACTCGGTCACCCCTCCCAGCCAAGCGGGTGCCAGGCGGGCGTCAAGCAGCCGAAAAAGATGTGGAAGGGCAGAGTGTTTGACTTCGACCAGAAGCGGATCGCCCCGCCCGAGTTTCGCGAGAGGCGCCCGGGGCCCGAGTTCTCTCCGGCGCCGGGCAACGACCAGTATTCCATCAACAGCCTGAAGTGGCACTACGTCGACAAGAAATACGGCTCGGGCCTCAGCGTCCGTCCTGCCCCCCCCCCCCCGTGTCTTCTTCATGGATCGGCTGCCGGAAGGATGAGGGGGGGGGATTGCGAAAACGAAGGATTGCAAAAAAACGAGGTTTTTTTTTGCAATCCTTGGGTGTTTTTTTGCAGTCCTTGTTTTTTTTTTTGTTGCAATCCTTCGTCCGACGATCAGGAGGAGGAAGAGGAGGAGAAGCGGCTTTCGTGGAGAAGGCTGGTCTCCAGTGTCCTCCTCCGACTCGGCGGCGGCTTCGCCGTCGCCAGCCAGGCAGGACCTGGGAGGGGTTGTGGATCGAACATCGAACGGGATTGAAGGAGGAGGAAGAGGAGGAGGAGGAGGAGGAGGAGGAGGAGGAGGACGAAGAGGAGGAGGAGGAGGAGGAGGAGGAAGAGGACGAAGAGGAGGAGGAGGAGGAGGAAGAGGAGTAGGAGGGGGAGGAGGAAGGACCCACTCGGTGCCCCCGGGCCTTTTTTTTGAGGAGGAGGAGTTCACCACTCAAAGTTGACGGGAAAGTTCACCACTCAAGGTTGACGATCCATGACTTTGAGCTTTACAGGTCATCGTCTTGCAGGAGCTGGGATGGCGAGCGGCTCCAACATGGCTTCTCCAGCAGGGACGCTTGTCACCATGGATGCCCTGGGCAAGCTCTTGAAGCAGGAGTTGCGGCTAATCCAGGTGGACATCGAAGCGATCAAGGCGCACGGAGTGTCCCAGAAGGACCTCCAGGAAACAGTGGGCCCGCTGAAGGTCGCGGTGGACGAAATCACGAGGAGGGTCGAGGCGCTGGAGATGGAACCGTGGAGGCCAACTTCGGCGAGGAGCGCGTCTGCATTGTTTGTGCGATCGGGGGGCACTGAGCTTGACGCGGAGCTCCATGGCCTGGAACGCCAAGCCCGTGAGTGCAGGAAGCCGTCGACAGCATCGGAGGATGCATCGACTATAGTCCCCGCGCTTCAAGAGGCAGAACACTGGGCCCAACGCGCTTTACAGGACGGTGGCACCGACGCCTCTGCGAACATTAACAAGAAGGGGCCGCCAGAACAAAATGTATCAAATGCATGATGTCCATCGAGCTCGGCGCGACTACGGCGGCGCAGAGACCGCAAACACACCTGGAGGACCTCACTTCCAGAATGCCCCCAGACCCGAGGAAAGGCAGTATACGGGTTCGGTGCAATCTGAACGTCTCAGTGGAGACGAGAGTGATATCTTCCCTGCTTCCGGGATTGCGCAGTTCGTTTACGTAGTGGAGCTCAACAGAAATCCCAAAGTAGGGGATCTTGGAAGCAGGTGGTACAGAAGTCATGCATGCTTCAGTCGTGAACGATGCGGTCAACAATGTGTGGTTGAGCAAAGACCTGAGATTCTGGGGACGAGCTTCGAACTGCCAGCGATTGGAAGCAACTCTAGGACTGGGCGAACGAGCTCTTCGCCGTGAGCAGGGTGCAGAAAAGCAAACGCGCAGGGAATTGGGAAAGACGGTGTTAAGAGCAAACATGCAAAGTTTCACCACCCCATCGGAGTCGTAGTCTTCATGCGGGTATCCTTCCGTTCCATCCTTTCATCACGACGCGGTTAACATGGGAAACGATACCGACCTGCGCGCTTCAAACACGAATTCGGTCAACACGGAAACACAGCTGGTCGAGAAGGCTGGCGATTCGCTCAATTTTGGAACTTGGAATGTCCAGTTTATGGACTTCTATGCGATCTGTCGTATATCTTTCTTAAGAGAAGCCAGGGAACAGAAAGCATACGTGGACACATTCGACAGTCACGACGTCATATTGTCAGGATCGGACGATGATAACATAATGAGGATCGGGGTCGGATGTGTCATGGCGGCAGCAGCCTGGGGGCACGTGAAATCATTCAAACGAGTCTTTGGCATAATCTGCGTTTGGCGGGGATGATGCTCTTGGCACCTCGTGGATAGGGGCGAAAACAGTACGTTTGATGTTTGTGGTGGCAATGCCCGCACTCTCGCAGACACGTTTGCCAACCGACAGTGAGAACGTAAACCGATCTTCAGGGAGGCCAGGGTACCAGCGCAGGGTCCGATGAGCGAAATTACCCACGCCATTTTCGATTTCTTGGCTGATCTTATCCGGCTGAACAAGCTCGTTGCCTTTGGAAGCCATCGCAGAGCAGCTCTGGCTGCTGGCCATTACCTGATCACGTGCGCCCTGGCATTGGACGCGCCGCGAGCACGCCGAGTACATCAAGATGCATCTGAGGTGGCAGCTGTGGACGGAGACATTCGGATCTCCTTTTGTTTCGCTCTGGATGTTTTGAGTTTTGTGAATCTACAGGCCGACTCGTACGCACTTATCGTATTCATACAAGCAACGGGGGACCGGGTCTGGGGGCCCGGGGGCCGGCGCCTCGACCGCAAATGTGGGGCCCGGGCGTCATTCTCCCTGTGTTCTTACAGGGTTTCGGCGACCCAGGGCCAACACGGCCCAAAGAGGCTGCAGGTAGGCCCCAGGAGGCCGCAGCGATGGCTCCAGACGCGTTTCAAGACGACTCCCATGACGCCAAGAAGGCCCCCGAAGGCCCCGAAGACGCCCCAAGAGGCACCCCGAGAGAGCCCCAATAAGCAAAAATCGTCGATTTCACATGGGGAAACTGATTATTTTGGCGTGTTCGCCTTTTGGGCTTCCACTGCGAGCAAGACGGCCCAAGAGGCCCCCAAGACTGCCTCACAGGCTCCCAAGAGGGCTCCAAGACGACCCCAAGAGGGTCCCAAGACCGAGCCCCAGAGGGGCCCTAGAGGTGCACAGCCATATTCAAATTCCGAGCTTTCGGCCCCAGAGGCTCGCAGGAGGCCCTAAGAGGTCCCCAGGAGGCCCCAAGAGGCTCCTAAGAGACCCCCAGCAGGCTCCCAAGAGGCACCCCAATAGAGCCCCAAATAAGCAAACATCGTCGACTTCCGATCGGAAAACTGATAGTTTTGGCGTGCTCGCCTTTTGGGCTTCCATTGCGTCCAAGACGGCCCAACAGGCACCAAAGACGGTCGAGGATGCCCCCAAGAGGGCTCCAAGACGTCCCACGAGGGGGCCAAGACGGCCCACGAGACGCCTAAAGCGCTCAACAACGCCCCAAGTCGGCGCCCCAGACGGGGACGAGGAACCCATTTGGCCCAAAAGGCTCCAAGGAGACCCCAAGAGGCTCCAAGAAACGCCGAAGAAACTTTAAGAGGTCCCCAAAGGATCCGCAAAAAAACACAAAAAAGAGTCCCCGAACACGCCCCAAGGGGCACTCCAACAGAGCCCCAATAAGCAACAATCGTCGATTTCTTATGGGGGAACTCATAGTTTTGGCGTGTTCGCCTTTTGGGCTTCCACTGCGTCCAAGACGGCCCAAGAGGCCCCCGAGACTGCCTCACAGGTTGCCAAGAGGTCTCCAAGACGACCCCAAGTTGGTCCCTAGACGGCCCGTGCCTTTGGGGGGTCTCTTGGGGATCTCTTGGGAGCCTCCTCGGGGCATCCTGGGGGCCTCTTGGGGCTTCCTGGCCACCTCTTGGGGCCATCTTGGGGGGACCCCACCGTCCAGGTCCAGGGGAGGGGGCAGGGCGAGGGGTAAACCCCTCCCCGAAGGGGAAGAAGGAGGGATGGAAGAGGAACCGCTTACAGACCACCGACGCCCAGAGGGCTGGTGGGATTAATGATTTCTGCGTTTCCGCGTTTCTCCTTTTATGCGATTCCGAGGGTTGCGCAGGGCTTGCGAGGGAGTCCCTGCGCGCAAGAAGCGACCAACATGAGATGACATGAGTTAGCCTATCAAGCCTAGCTAGAACTTGAGCGCGCGCGAAGCGCGCGCGATGGTTCTAGTCTCATATTCAGTTGCGCCGCCGCGCGACCCCGCCACTGCGCTCGGGCAGGCGGCGTGGGGGTGGGTGGAAGGGAACGCCGTTTGTGCGGGGGGGCGGGGCGGGGGAGGGTCCACGGACCCGCCTTCCCCAGGCTGTGTATTCGGGACACTGTCTTGCCTGGAATGCCAAACGCGCATGGACTCGGTCACACACATGAGCGCACGTTGGGCTCGATGCGTCGGGGGGGCATTAACACTGCTTCGCAAACCAACGGCAAAAAGGCTCGGCGCACAGTAACCGCTGCAAGCGCGGTGGCTGAGCATGCCACCTTATATTATGTCAGGTCATGTCATGCCATGCCATACCATCCGTTATCATGCCATATCATAGCATTTTACTAAATATTATATGTTGTATCTCATTATATTAGAGTATGTTCGCATAGTCTTTCATATACAGCCATTTTATGCCATATCATGCCATATCGCATCATGCTATATCACAACATATCGTATCGGGCCGAATCGGGTCACACCATGCCATACGCTACCATTACATATAACACCATATTATTTTACCCAAGCAATTCCACACCATATCACGCCGCATCATGTATCACATCATGCCATGTGATAGCATATCGCAGCATGCCAACCTATGCCATATCACACCTTATCACGCCATGCCACATCATATCACGCCAATTTATATCATATCAAGCAATATCAAAGCATACCATGCCGTACACATGTTTTATGACTTGTTCATACTATATACCCATTTGCCTTCGGTCAATCTTGCCACAGTGCCTAAGTAGTGGGTCGGATGTGTCTTGGATCATAGCCAGGGTTTCTTAGCTTCTTGGCGTACTTTCCTCTTGGATGGCATCTACATGATTGAAGTTGTACCCACGTGATACCAGTTGAGCCATGCCGATCCCGTCGGTTGTCGATCCATCGTTCCTGGGCTGTGGGTCAAAGGCCCTCTCGGAGTCTTCATTGGGTGTTCATCTCCAGGATATTCTTGTGAGCCTCTTGGGGTCTCATCGGGGTCTTTGGGAGATCTCTTGGGGGCCTCTCGGGTGCCTCTTGGGGGGCGTTGGGGTCTGTTGGGGCTTTTTGGGGGCCCTCTTGGGGGGTTTCTTGAGCCGTGTTGGGGCGATCTTGGTGGCCTTTTAGGCCGTTTTT